GGTATGTCTTCAAAAACTATACTAATTTTTCATTAAGTTATTGTACCCCCATTGGTCCTTGTTAAAGGCTGTCAGGCTATTCCCATGTAAAGAAAATATTTCCTACTTAACTGTGAAAGCGTCTTGATGCGTATGTAAATTCTTGTTGATATGATGGAACATTGTCACTTCTAATGTATGTGTCATCCCTAATTACTGCTCAGATTCAGGATCATGCCATGACTTGTTCTATGGAATTTCAGGTATGTGATGGTTTCAGACCACAAATGTGGCCAACTTGACAAAAGTGAGGCCAACTACAAAACACTTCAAAATACTAAATCTCCCCAACTTTGCCAACCAGGTCATATTTGGACTCTTTATGATTATGAAATAAATTTTTCCACAAGGAAAATTACTGACATGCAGTATATGAAACTGAACTCCAGAACTCTGTTGCCCATACCAGTACCAACACTTGTGCTGAGGATGGATATCCCTTAATTATCAATAGGAATAGTAATGTCTGCACAGGATAATTGTATTCTTGTCACTGGCAGAGTAAAGAGATGCTCCCATCTGTTGGAAATATTTAACTTTATCCTGTGGAGAGACAGAATGCAGGTGTGAAATTGCCTGTTGAGCAACATACACATGTATGCCCCTTGTACACTACTTTATTCACACTATGGGGAAGCTGAAACTTGCTCTTTTGAGGCTGCTTTGAAGTTCATCATGTTTGGAATAATCTATACAGCACTTGAGTTCGAGGGACGTCAGCCTTACTGGTGCCTGAAAGTTCTGTGGAAAATAATCCTAAATTCTTCCTTTGTAATTAGCAAATATGGTTAATATGCTGTTTCCTGGACATATTAAATGGAATATAGCACACACTAAATTGGAGCAATGAAAAGAGAAAGGCACAGCTTATTAGTGGTGGATGCTTCCAAGTGTTTGACTATAAGCCAAGTCATGTTCTGCAGAAATTTGGGCCTTGAAATCTTTTCTGTGGATCCTTTGTAAAACTCATTGCATTTGCTAATGGCAACTTGCTAAGAGTGGCACCACCACCACTCAATAAAATGTCTCAGGTGTCTTGAACAGAGCAACAGAGCACTGGGCACTGTCTTCCATTAACTAGATTTATACCTTAATTATGTCACAAGAGTAAGACATGAATCAATCTCAATCCCTAAACATTAGTAGTATGGAGATCAGATTCTGATAGTTTTAAGTTTGTTTCTAACCTCCAGTGCCACCACCTTATCATTCTGCTTGTCTTTGGGTGGCTAAGGCCTTAGGCTAGGCCTTAGACTAGTTCTTAGTCTCCTTAGAACTAGGAGTTTTGTGTTAACTTCACTGGGATCAAGATCAACTTCTGCATTGCAAATAGTAAAGCATTATGCAACTATTGTAAGATACTTGTGCAAGTGTAATGAGATTGGGATGTGCTGTGATCTCCTCTCCTTGGGGAGTTCTGTACAGTACCTTGATTGGAATAGGAGACAGATTTAACCTGATTGAATCGTTAAATGGAATTATAAGACAATGAACATTAGCCACTTAGCTCATTCCATAAATTCCAATAATTAAAACTGCATGTGTGATAATAATGGCTATTCCAGATAGCCAAGGAAGAAAAATGCACCTTTGATATGTTGTGGCATAGGCATAATGAAAACGTTGAGCTAATGGAGGATCTATGTAAGAGGAGTTACCACACAGAACCTGCAGTTGGAAATATATAAACACACTTCCCAACAGAATCTCACTGCGTCACAATTCATTAAGAAAATCGGCAATAACTGACAAGATAGGCACAAAATGGATTTTCATGTTGCTGGGATGAAGTATGGCTCCCAGCAATTAATGGTTTTAGTCATATTAAGCAGATAAATAATGCTATCTGACATTACAGTATTTCACATTACACTAAAATTTTGTAACATTTGCTCATAATATGAGTTGAAATATGTTACCTAGGAAAAAAAATGTTATCTCTGGAACAGTCAAACCCCATTAGAAACCTTAGGCTTGAAAAATCACAGTGTTAGCAGTTATATCCCCTAGCAAAGGTTTGCTTTCCTTAAATAGTGTTAAATTTAAACCCAGAAGCTCTAGTCTCTTTTGGAGTTACTCTTCCATAGTGCATTGAGCTTGAAAGGAAAATTTAGTGCATGGAATGTACTGTGCCATTACTGAATGTTGGTAAGAGAAACACTATGGAGAACTGCAGAGAGGGAAACCTTTAGAATGAAGTCACATCAGGGAGACTTTTGTTCTCTAAAAAATGTTTCTACATTGTGCTTTATTAAAAAAGCTCCTAATCTTAACATGAACTAATTACCCATTATTGATAAATAAACTGATTATTTTAGACCTCATTGTAATTGGCATGTTTGCCTTCTATATAGCTGGATATATGCTACCTAAGTACCATTCTTTCTGGGGGAAAAAAAAGGTTTTGCTGTAAAATACTATGGGTCTACATTTCCAATTACTGTTTGCATGAACAGCTCCTCTGATTTCAGCATTCTTACTCATGTTAGTTTTATATTGGAAAGTGCCCAATGTGTTCCAAGTATTAATAGGAATCAAGAACAAACATGGGGACATTATTTCTCTCTTGTATGCTGCTAATTCTGTTCCAAATTCATCGAGTAGCATGGAAGAAAATGTGATTGCCTGTCAAAGCACAGATGTGTTTTTGGTTGGGACAGTGCACAGTGCACTTGGAAGTGTCATGTTTAGCTGAAGGCAACAATGCTTAGTGTCTCAGCACCCAACTCCTACTGAATTTCAACAAGAGTGAGAGAACAACCTTCCCTTGGGTTTCAGTGAAAATCCTTGGCTTAGTATCCAATCTGAGCTGCAGTTCCACTCACAGAAAACAAGTGGGTTTTGAGGTCTTTTAAGGTATTGTTTGCTGAAACAGCAGAAGGTAATCTGAGTGCAGAGAGAACACTGCAAGTCTGTTCCCAAAATATGTTAAATTTTGATAGGAAAGAGCTATTTAAAAAAAAGGTGTTCAATATCATTAGGATTATTGAATACAATAAACCTTTCCAAATCCGAGCCATAAGCAAAACAGTCGTTCACATGTGCCAAGATAGAATTTTATTGCTTCTCAGATGACACTGCATTGAGGCATTTATTTAACTTGAGGGTACTGTAAAAGCAAAACCAGTTCACTTATGTCTTATGACGTTTGTCCTACTGGATGTTAGTGGAAGAGGTAGGGACTTTTCAGAGACATTGCTGGCAATGTCATAAGAAGTGCACACCAAAAGCTTAATAACAGTGTTAGCAAGAACACAGAACCTCTGTCAGACACTGGTCTCTAGATTTAATTATCTTCAATTGGAAGATGTAAAATATTCCACCACGGCCCTTGTATGATCTTATAAAAATGACACTGTTTACAAAGGTCACAGTTCTGCATTGTCTCATGATGAGTCTCACAAATCTGTTGAAGTGTTATCATGACCTGGGAGTCTCAAAGCTCCTCTCTGGAGGGTTATGTGACCACCAGTGTGTGATGCTTTACACCAAACCCTTAAGGAAACTCCCAGTGAACACAGTTGGGGAGCCCTAATCTCCCTAGTATTAGTGCTCAGAACAAATTCTAGTAATAGCAACTGTGTATATTGGACTTATTTCTTCTTTTCTTAATGAGGTGAAGAAGAAACAGTTGGTGCTGTATACCCAGCTGATGTTTGCAGAGGACCACCCAGTGCTGCAGGAACTGCCAATGACCAAGTGCTTTGGGTACAACAGGTTTGTTTCATGCTCTCACATCATCTCTCTGTGCTAATCTGTGTTCGTGTTATTGCACTTTCGTAGTATCACAAAGAAGTATTGGTTTTATTGTGCTTATTTTAAAACCAGTACACTTAAAAACAGCCAAACGTATCTAAGTTGGGTATATAAAAATATACAGGTAATAACTCACATTATACAGTAAAAAAGAAAGCACCTGTGTGGAAACCTTACCCCCTTTTTGGGGAAGGAGAGCTGTCTCTGTGGAGTTATTTCAGGAACATGTACTTACACACATTTACATACAAAACCAGAACCTTAGCCACACAAATCTGTCCTCTTATGTGGCAGAGGAGCCAGAAGGCCCAAAGGGGTGATATGTCTCATTCTTTCTCCATCACAGAACTGCTGCCATTCACACTGTGTGAACAGGAGTATGGCTTGGGTGAAGTGTGAAAAGCGTGAGATAAATTATGCTCCATGTGGCATAATTCCTCCCAGGAAACAGCATAACCAACAGCCCACAAACAATTGTACATTATCCTGCTGTCAGAACGAGCAGCTGTCACTAGGAGCCGAGGAATGCGGCGCAAGGTGTTGGGCCACGAGTTGAGGGTTAGGGAGAAGGGGCAGCTGGACATGTTGCAGTTGTAAAACTATGAACCAGAGGGATGCTGGATACCTTCTGCAGCACCTCTGACCCAAAGGGGATGAGAAAAACTGTGTGGAGGCAAAGGTTAGCATCAAAAATGGTTTGTATCACCAAAGGTTTTGTATCAAAGGTTTGTATCAAACCTCATCTCTGGACACCAGGCTCAAAGTGTTAACTCTAAATAGTTATATGCTCTATAAAAAAGGAACTAAATAACTTAGTCTGTTTAAACATTAAGTTTCCTTCTAATCCTACCTGCATTTCACTATGGTAAAAGTGGGTATTTAAAGAAAATATTTCACTCTTACAGATCCTTGCAATTATGTTTTTAGAAGTGCCTTTTCCATGTCAGGCTCTAATCTAGTCAGAAAAGTTACCTTTTTATTCTCTCAAAAATAAAACTGTAGTAATTATCCATTGCATTTAACCATGTGAAAAGAGTAAAAAGCTATTTCTACGTGGTTTCTGAGGTAATAAGCTGGAATGTTAGAAATATATTAATGCAAGTCATTCAGTTGTGAGGGTGTCCCCTGCCCATCTTCCCCCAAAAGAGGGGATGGACACAGTAATGTGGAAAAAAGGTGGCTGGAATACTGATTGGTATCTTGTATCATAGTTCATCATGGTTTCTTGTGAGGTCCTCTCCATAATTAGTAGCTTGACTTCCAACAAACATATTCCAGTTGTCTAGAACCTCCTCTTTGGTTAGTTTTTGATCCTGGAAGGAGGAAAACAAAACCTCTGTCAGAACATTTTCAAAGCTAAGTAAAAGACACACCAGCACACACTTGCAAGAGCCTTGGAACACACACAATTTTTCCAACCAGCAGACTGCAGGTTCAGGAATCATTTGTAGCTGTCACAGTGAGTGAAATTTGGACCCCAATGGAAGACACAAGTCCCACTGGTTTCAGCTGGGTCAAACTGCTAATTGGAAGTTTTTTGTGAGTAGTAATGAACTCACTGCCAAATGGTATATGGGTTATCTGGTACACTGTTTTGCCCTGTGGTTTGATTTTGCCTTCCTGACAGTAAAAGTGAAAATCCTCTGGTATACTTTGTTGAAGATGGGTGCTTATGTTAGCAATTTACATGTTCTCTGTGTAAGAGTATTTTGGCTTTTTAGGTTCCAACTTTGCTTGCATCACACTCCTGAGGATCACCATCTGGAATCCACTGCCACACACGGGAGGAAGTGAAGGTCTTTAAGTGAAAAATACGTGCTTGATTTTGGAACTGAGGGTGGTTTTGCTATCCCCTATGTAAATGTATCTGCATTTTCCTCCAAGAGTCTAAAATTAACATGCAAAAGCCATGACCACTCTTAAAGGAAAAGAGGTACTTCTACTCTGTTAAAACTTCATGATAACATGAAGATAACATTAACTAACTTGATAAATAGCTTTTTATCACCTAATGAAAGCCAGGGAAACTCCTGAAGTTGATAAAGTTATTTTACTACTTTTACTTTGTGCTTCTAACCCTACCAACTGGAACTGGCATTGAAACATTAATGCCCTAGCAATTCTAACCTCTAAAACTCCATTTAAAGTGTGCTAGTAAGAAAAGTTATTAGGAATAAATTCTTGGAAGCTGATATTTTTAAAAAGACCCCACACCACCTTATAGAACTTCTTTAAACACTACATACCTTGTCTACATCAGATTCATAGACTAAGTGTCTGGCTTCAGCTAGTGCATGGTCATAGTCTTGTGGGAGAATCCAGTGCTGAATCTCATCTTTGTCCATCTTTCCATCCTTGTTGAGGTCCCGAAAATCTGAGAACTGTTCACGCTCTGTAATCACCCAGTCAGGCTCTGGTCCACCCTCTTCATTTGCAAACATATCAGCTGGGCAGGAAATAAAGGTCTCACTCAAGACATCTTTAAATTTGCAAATTATGCACAAACTAAAGACTTTTGCACAGTGTTTAGGAAGCCTAAACTTTTCACTCTTTGCACAACGTCTCTTTGTACAGACAATCAAATCTGGGGTGGTAGCTGTGTGTATATTCTCTCAGGTCTGTTTAATGACTGACAGTGATTCTGTCCACTCTCACATTACCCCAGTATCACAACTGTGAGCTGCTGGTGAGGCTAACATGAGAGGTGAGCATTTCCAAAGGCCATCATCCACTGAATTTCAGAATGAAGGAAGTTCTCTAAGGATCTCTAGTTAAATAGCAACGGTAAGCTTTAGTGCTAGGCTCAGTCACATGGGGAGAAAGGAACTCAGCAATTTTATCTTGTCCCTGCCAGCAAATGTCTTTGTGGATAAGATCAGACTCCAGCCAGCAGAGAGTGATTAAAGTTAAAAAGGCACAGGGGAGATTTAGGCAAACAAAAATTGCTAAATGGAACTTGCATGCTTTTGTTCTGTGTTTTATAGACATCTATGTAAGAGAAATTCAGCTTAGTAGATGAGTCCTCTTTGAACCATGCAGTGCTGTAGCATACTCCAGTAGAAGACATTCTTCTACAAAGACCTGGAGAAATCCTGAATCAGTGGTGCATTCTGTGAGAAACCACAGGCAGAGTGCACTTGCCCTTGGGATGGAGTAGCATGTGTGACACAGGATGCATAGGGTACATACATGAGCTTCTCTGTACATCACTCCTGTGCTATGTTTAGGAAGCCTCAGTAGGACAGTGCCACAGTGGCAGCTTCTATCTGCATGAACAGAGTTAGGAGAGTAGCACTGATTATGAAAAACAAGTGACTTGTACCTGTTCTTCACATCACAAGTCTTCCAGATGATGAGCAGTGTGTCCACTTTAATCTTTTGGTCACTGTGGCCAATTGTTTCCTGCTCATCAGGGATGCTTATCCCTCAAGCCTTCAGCTTTTCTATTTAGAATCACAGTCTGTTTTGTGATACTACTCCTCTACTACAAACCTTTGGGTTTGGTTTTCAAGGAAAACTGCACCCCATGTGGATGGTCCCAGGGCCAGAGGCTGAACTGGTGTCTATAGGAAGCAAAAATGCTAATTTCAAACCTAGAAATAACCTCCCCTGACCCTGCAGTGTGAGTGTGCACGAGGGTGAAGTTCTCTGTTGTCACTGTTGTCTGCCCATGCAAGGTAAAAATTTAATTCTCTCTGCTCAACAGGATTAGGAATATTTTACTCTGCTGCTTGTGTAAAGTCTTAACCAAATGTTATAAAAGACAAAATAGGAAGAAAGAGGGAGAAGGAGGGAGGAATGATTCTATAACGTTCAGCAGATTTCTCCACCAAAAACTTGATCTAGAGACTGAAAGTTTTGGAATTCTTGTGGTTCCTTATAACGTACCAAAGAACAGATTTAGTTTTCTCTTTGCTTCTTAAATACTATAGCTGAAAAAGGAAAGTAGGAATATTTTAAGCATAGTTTTCTCAACTCATGAAGAAAACTTCAGACAACACATTCACTTTCTTTTTTTTTTTTCCATTTTTTTAAAGAGCAAATTATATTGTTTATTTGAAGCAACTGACGTCCTGTCAATTTGATTTTTCTCATCCTTGCCAATGTGGGGTGATCGTGACTAGAACATTCTATGTTCCTATCTATAGAAGACAAGAAAAACCAGCATTCACATGGTAACAAATGTTGACAATTACCTTATAATTATATGTAGGTAATGTCACTGAATGAACTGAAATTACTGTGGAAATTATGCTGCTCTGTTATTTCAGTCATAAATGAATAGCATTCGCTTTCTGGGCTAAATATAATTTACAGGGAATAGAACCCTCCTGCCATTAATTAACGTGTGTATATCGTTCCTGATTCTGTGTGAAGTGATCTTTACAGCACCACTAGAAACTGAAAGATTCATTCCAGTTTGCACTGATGGTTTCCAGTGGCACTGTCTTGATTTAAAGCCCATCCAAATGAGGGCAGTGGGAGAAGGGAGGTGTTGGTATGGCCACAATGATTCCAAAAGCTAAACCAAATCACATCCTGTTGATCTCCAGTCCTGCTTCCACTTCATAGGGCTAACTGCCTGGTGTGACTGAAGTTTGTGCAAATTAGCTGTGACTGATCTGCTGTGCATGTTTCCCATTTTGTTCTCTTGCAGCCACTGAAGCAATGCACAGCTAACTTTCACACATTTCACAACTTCTCTGAGGATCTCAAATCTTGTGCTGTTTTAACACAGTTCATTTTTAATGTGTCTTCTGTTTCCAGAAGAAATAGAAGAGTATCACCATTAGAGAAGGATGGGACTTTACTTACTCATTAAACTAGGAAAAAAAACAGTAGGAAAAAGGTGAATTTTCCTTTTTTGCAATGTGTGCTTCCAGGCTGGTTTGCATATTGAAGTACCATTCAAACTTGGGAAAAGACTATGTCACTTTCTGCTCCTCCTGCATTTCTAAATGCCTTCAAACAGCTGCTAATGTGGTCTAGTATACAGAGAATATCCCTGGCATGAAAAATATTACTCCAGATCCTCTTAGAAGAGTTATATGAAAACAGAAGAAGAATCTTAGGCTATAAAGTGTGAGGAACCTTTTTCTGGTGATGTTGCTGTCTGCCAAAATGAAATTAAACTTTCTGGGTTGGATGGTTGGTTTATAATAGCTGAACTAACAGAGAAGTGTTGATCTCTGGGTTGTAAATGCTGCTGCAAAGTTGAGAGAAGATGGAAAAATGGACTGGAGATAACATAAGAAATAAATATAAGCACTTACCAATGTACTCGTCTTGATCCACAAAACCATCCTCATTTTTGTCTATGTCTTCTAAGGTTTCCTGGAAAATAGTTTTGCATTGAAGCAAGCAAAAAAAAAAAAAAAAAAAGAGAATTCTGATTTCTTGCATCATTGTTTGAGGTCTTGACCTCCCTTGTACACAAGACAAGGTACTCTCACTAACTCCACTGTGATAGTTGTTTATACAGTGAATATACAAATATTCTTTCAGGCTGAAAAAATTCCCTGTATGAATGAAGTGAACACCATGCTAAAGTTAGGGGCAGATAGAAGCTTACATGAAACACTTAGCTGCTGCATGTCAGCATTCCCTTCCTTTCTTCTTAGTTTAAGTCCATGCCCCAAGATTGTTTCCTGATTCCATTTAGGAGCTGTGTTGAGTGCACTTACCAAGTCTTTCTTATACTGAGAGTTCTAAATCAAGTGAATTTGATGAAAGGCATCCCTTTCTGTTCCCCACTTTGCTATTATGTGTGTGTCTTTTTCTAAACCCTGCCTGGAAAGGTTAGAGAAGCACTTCCATAACAACAAAAGTAAAAATAATGCAATTGATTTTGCTCTGCTTACTAAGACAACGATGTTTTTCATGTGCTCAAACTCCTCTGGGTGAAGGAAAGCAGTGAATTCTTCACGAGTGGCAGCCAAGTCTCCATCCAGGTCTGCAGTTTTGAATCGTCTTTCATCTCTGGGCAGCATCTTCTTAAAACTGTGCTGCTCAGTTGCATCTTGGAATTCTTCTGGATTGTCTGCAAATTAATCAGGATGATCTCACAAGTCTGTTCCTTTGAAAACATATTACCACCACAGTCTGAGCCTGGAAACACAAGGGCTTATTGCCAGAATAGCTGCTGTTCTAAAATGGAACTTCTCTTTCCTGTGAAGTTTTACTTTCAGGAGTCAAGAACTTGCTTTGATTTTTAAAGATGACAGTAGTAGAGGGAAATGTCTGAGTAAGCCTTGTGTTGCATCCAGGATAATGGATTTTTGAAGCATTGTATATTATCCCTCATAGATTTTTTTTTTCCCCTCTGCCTTTACAAGCACCACTTAGCCAATATTTGGGATAGATTTCATTCACACAAGTTTTATTCTTCTTAGGAATCAGTACAATCTAGGCAACTTTTCAGTTTCAAGAAGCAGCCAAACCAAGGAAGAGTAGTTTAAGAAGGTGGCAGACTGACTAAGTGATCTAACTGCTGTGTCTCTGCTACAGGGAACATAACAATTATTGCCAGTTTAAAACAATGACATTTTTTCAGGGTGTTCAGTGGCATAAAAGGAATGGTACTTGATATAATTTTTTAAAATAGGATCCTTAAACTGACTTCAAACAGGAAAAATTCTCATAACAATTTCACAATTCATGTGTTGGGAGACAAACACAGGTGAAAAAGATTCAGACAGGAATTACAGATGGTATTCATTAACACAGGCCCATGATGTACTAGCTGTTCTCCAAATCTTGGGGATTACAGAGAGCACAAAGGGCTGAGAAGGTTTCCCAGGGATAATGCTGCAGGGATTATGTGTCAAATATCTCCTTCCACAAATGTAACAAGCTCCACTTTAATCTAAGGTAGACTTTGGAATTACTATTGCTACTGGAACTTTGCTCTAGAAACTGCCTCTGTGGGAGGTAAATATTTTCCTCTCATTTCCAGTAAGTATAAATGGTCAATTAATACTGATCTGTTGTTCTGTCAATATTGTCCTTTAGCTTAAGTGATCTCTTCTCCTCCTTTTCCTTCATTACCTTATAAAAAGCAAATGGAACATAGTGGGGGGAAAAAAAGTCAGGTATATTTTTTACTACATGTTTCTTTCACCTGCTTCATTAAGGATTTCCATTTGCAGTTGTTCACAGCCTGAAGCACATGCTATTCTGCAAGAACTATTTTAACCAATAACTTTGCTATGCCTTAGACCCAGAGTAAATTTTTAGCATCTATACTTCAGATTTTAGAGAGACTGAATTAACAGGATACACAGTTTTTAATCTAACTGGATGAGACTTTTATTTGGCTGTGTCAGAATGTTTAATAATCTCTCCACGAAACCTTCTGTGTGCTGGTGACCCATGTGGAAAGGGCTGCAATAAATAACTAAAAAGTGCTTTAGACCCCCGAGCATCTATGAAATTTAATATGAATTTCAAGAGTCCTAAACGTGACACCGAAGTCCTGTTGACTGTAAGGCAAGAAACAATATTTTATAACCTCAAAAATCCTCGATCATACAATCTGAAAATGTTCTCTTACCTAGATAATAACCATATGTGGCTTGTTTGTATTCTTCCCAGGCGATTTTATTGTCCTTGTTCAGATCATAGTCTTTCCAAACCTTGGCCACGTTTTCGTAGATGTAGCGTTTCTGTACACGTTTAATCCAGGCTTTTAGCTCCTCTGTTGTGAGATAGCCATCTTTGTTGTCATCTATTCTATCCACAATCTTCCTGTAAAGAGATCAGCATCCTTACGAGTTGGCAGAAAAACAAACTGCATGTCAGTCCAGTTTTGGTAATCTTTATGTGGCCCTGATTTCCCACAAAAACAGAGTGCCCCAAGCTCACAGAGCTGTCCTAGTGGCTAAGCCTTATGTTTTACAGATTATTTTAAGGGATATTTCTCTATTCAAAGTACCTCAGATACTACTTGGCTCTCTTAGGTTGTGTCTGCTATCTTGGGGGACCTGTTCTTCCCTGTCCATAGGGAGAGGCTGTGCTGGGCTCAGAGTAGAGGACACTAACTCCACTTCAGGAGGAAGCCTGTACTGGAGCTTGCTGGAAGCAACCAGGGCAAAAACCTAGGACTTGGTGGACAGCTACAGTTTCTCCTTTGGCTTTCCAGGACACTGACACTAGGGTGGACTGAGTTATCTGACTGCATAATGCTGGGCATGTACACCATGTCTTCCTTTCCATGCCTGTCCCTCCACTTGTTTCTTTTCTTTCATTCCCAATGAAAAGCAGTATTGGTGCAGTTCCCAGGAATGCTTGCTCCTCACTAAAGGAATAGCTAGTCTGCATCAGGTCCCCAGTCACAGCTGACAGCTGGGATATAAACCACTATCCTGTGTAAAGCTGCCAGCCTCAAGTGCTGTTGAAACCAGGAGGAGTGAGAGGTAGTGGTATACTCCCAGGGAAACTTGCACCTTTGAAACATTCTGCACACAGCTGCAGAGAAAACTGACCTGAAAAACTGTTAAAAAAGGGGGGTGATGCTCCCTATTCTTTACATTCTCTGCAATAAATTTCACCACCATTTTGGGTTTGAGTTTGTCAAACCAGTCACAGTGGTAGAACATTTCTTATCTGAAATAAGAATGCAGCTTTAATCCAACAATTTATAGATAAGCTTATCACAGCATTGTTATATTCCAGGCACTAGCTCGTGGGAAACTGAATCCTGCTTTTGGAACTGAGGCACCTAGTTTTGCAGCCAACTCACCACGACCTGGATGAGTTCCCCATGTGAATCCTCTATGGATGAGTTATATGTCACTGGAATGAAGAGGTAAGAGCAGGAGTTGACTTGTCTAAATCCAGACTTGACATTCAACAGTTGAGCTCCCTAAAGCTCCAGGCAGCCAAAGGACACAGGCTAAGGTTCTGCCCTTTTAAATATTCTTTTCAATTCAATTTCTTGGCTCTCCACAAAGAAACAAACCCTGGCCAACTGAAACTGCTTGACTAGCAAAGTAATGTCTTGGTTACGAGTGGTCAGGCAACAGCAGCAGCTTGTGCTGAATTTCCAGCAATCTTGTCTGAGTCTGATAGTACCAGATTGAATTTCTAAACATGTTATTTCTGAACTATGGTGAAAAAAAAGGGGCTGCTGAATTTGCTTTCCAAATTGGTACAGTATGAATTAACTGACTAGAAAACATTTTCTCTTTTGTATAAATCTCCTGGGAAATTGACTGCCAACGGTCGCTTTCACTGCATGATGGACTGTGTTTGTCAATAGATTTTCCCCACAATGAATTTGATTTAATTGCTTTATCTGGTATTTCTTTTTATTGTTAAAAGTATTCATTATACTAAATGATTTTGCTAGTTGCTCTTGGCTATTTTTAACATGAAAGCAATCAGGACTGTTTACCAAAAAATGTTTCATGCCTCTTTCTTTTCACCTGTTTTAATAGGTCCATTGTATCCATTTCACTCTGCTTCTCAGATGAAGATGAGGACAACAAAATAGTCTTGCATACAGGCTCCCAAAGGTACAGGTAACAACTTATTTTATGGACAGTAGTCCTCACTTTTTATACCATAATGTCCTGTAAAATGGCTCAGGATGTACATGGAGCTGATGTACATGTATCAGTCTGAGAAGCCTTAGTTTTAAATGGTTAATTCTCATATACAGTAAAAAATCAAGGAGCATTTTAACAGACAAAAAATGCCAGCTCACATACAGGAATTTACATGCACAAGTGTGTAATACTGGAAAGTCTACTGAGGTGGAATTACAGCCAGTATTAGTTTACTCCCTCCTTACTGAGGTTGTATTACAGCCAGTATTAGTTTACTCCCTCATAATGAAGAAGCTAGAGGGCATGTGAAGCCCTGGAAGTGTTTAAGAGATGTCTGGATCTGACACTGGAGGATATGGTTTAGGGTTTTGGGGTTCCAGCAGTGACAGGTTCATGGTTAGACTCAGTGATCTCAGAGGTCTCCTCCAATCTTGATGATTCGATGACTCTACAATTCTATCCAAAATCACAAAGTTGGGAACTCTACGATTCTATCCAAAATCACAAAGTTGGGAAATATTGAAAGTTATTAAACTTTCCCACAGGAGCCACATCTCTGATGTTCTGATGCACAATGCTCACGCTGAAATGTGTGTTTGGTCCTCAGAGGCGACTTTAGGCACCTTCATTTAAAAGGTTATTGACTGTGGCTGTAGGTTAACATGCCTGTGTAACATCCCTAAGTGGCACAGAGTGAGATCACCAGAAGTTAAGCTTCTTCCCTTGCTGAGTTAGCATTTGTAAAGCCTGTTTAAAAACAGCTCTACTGTTAAGTCATAATCCTGACTGAATTATCTACACTGGTGTAAGACCAATTTTAATAAGGTATGTTCATTTTAGTGATACACTTTGTGAGACTCTAGGTCATAGATCATGTATGCTGAGAACCTGGTTCCTTTTGTTCCTTCTTGTAACAATGTGGATGAAGTCAGTCATTTCTGGCAACCACTTTATCTGTTTACTCACTGAGATACACATAAATAGTAGTGACAGCTTCCAGAAGGATCAAGAGGTTAGTCAGTGAGATTACAGTGCTACTGCACTAAGAGCTTATGATGGAACCAGACAGACATACAGTCAGGAAGTACCACTCCCTGTGGAAGGGAAGGCAAAGGGAATCTTAGTGAGGATGTGCAGATATTTTAAATGATCTTTCTGCTAGTAACTACATTATAGGATCTTTCTTTAATTACTGTTAAACTTAGCTGGGATTAGTGATCTGGCTTCTTGTAGATATAAAGGAGGAAGAAGTACTAAAGTTAGGCATGGTCTCTGTTCTTGGCATAAAAAGCAGTGCAGTGGGCAAAGGTGTCACAAGTGGAAAAGCTGTAGAAAATGCTTCAAGTAGACTTGTAAATGTAGCTGTAAAGAAGGAATGGCTTAAACTCGATTCACACCGATACGGTGGGGGCAAGTGACCCAGAGCTGTAGGGAGCAGCAGCACCAAAGCCCCGTGGCAGCGGGTGAGTCTGTCCACACCGGCACAGCAGCTTAGTGCTGTAGGGCCAGCAAAGCAGGAGAGAAAAACAGCGAAGCGCTGAATCGTTAGCTGCTCGTTCACAAGACCCGCGGGGGGCGAGGGAAGCCGAACCGCAGAGAAACCGCTGGCCACGCTGGGGATCCAGAGCATCCCCGCAGGAGCCCCCAGGGTGGGAAGGGTCAGGGCATCCCACCCCGAGAGGGGTCAGAGCATCCCACTCCGGGAAGGGTGAGAGCATCCCACCCCGGGAAGGGCCCGAGCATCCCACCCCGGGAGGGGCCCGAGCATCCCACCAGATCGGGGAATTGTCAGAGCATTCCATCCCGGGAATTGTCAGAGCATCCCACCCCGGGAAGGGCCAGAGCATCCCACCCCGGGAATTGTCAGAGCATCCCACCCCGGGAAGGGCCCGAGCATCCCATCCCGGGAATTGTCAGAGCATTCCATCCCGGGAATTGTCAGAGCATCCCACCC